TGAAGCAAACAAAAATATATTGCCTATTTTAAGTCATTCGACAACCATTAAAAGTTATATTTTGGATCTCCATATTTTCCAAATCATCATCGGTTAAAGAGTTACATGCCCCACAAAGGACCCTCATGTTAGTGTCTACTCACTGGAACGGTCGCTGTTACTTCTGACCTGATCTGGCTGCTACCAGGGCTCTCAAGCTACAAGGCATTTCATGGGATAGATTTTTAGAGTTTAATCTGGAATAACTGGAATGAGGTTAACATTCCAGGCATTGGTCAACATTTGTCCAATTTGGTTCTACCCAAATATTGTCTATGTGGTTCAAACATGGTGATTTCGATGACCAAGGTGGCTGATTATTCCCTCGGTTCTGTAAGTTATCTGCTATTAAAAGTGCTCCGAGTAAACTGACAATCTGATCGTGCAACCTAAAATTGTTCCTAAGGTGCCCCCAATCAAATGTTTGTCAAGTGGTTCCCCGATGGACTGGATGTTTTTTTGTTTATTTGCAGCAGCATATTCGGAAAGACGCGGAGTCATGTCCTGTCCTGGTGGAAAGATTTTGACACACTGTGAGTGGCCTTTGTGTAGGCTTATTTGTGTAGGCTTATCAGTCTGGGCATTACTCTTTAAAACTGATCGGTTGATGTGGCACAATAATCTGTCCAACAATATTTTTTTAGCGCCATTCTGAGCCAGATTAACAATTTTATAAAAGACTGCTTGACTCATTTTATACACTGCTAAACCGCTAGCATGTAAAATTTCAAATTCTTATTTGCACTAATTGCCGACATATGAATACTATTTTGACAGAACCATGCTTCACCAAAGCTAAGCTTTGACCAGACCAAAGGAGCACTAACAAATTAAGTATATACACAAACAAATGCAGCAGTGCAACAGACATGGTAGCCAGTTCATTAGTAGAGACACGTCGGACTTCACACTTCTCCATACATATATCTCAAATGAGATTTGATGTTTTCGAAAAAAAGAACGCCTTTTTACCTCGGTAAATCTTTGAAACTAAAATATTCCATTTTAAATACAAGTCTATATATAGGCAAAGGTAGGTCCAGGATTTTGCTAAAGGTGGCCACCACGGCGTGGAGGACGGGGACGGATCAAGGATAAGAAATATAAAATATATCAGAGTAGATGAGATGAATTTTACCATAATGAGTAGAAGACCAGAATCATGGATAATTCTGTGTTTTGTTTCATTTCGCCAGTTGTCTCTATATGTATTTGGGAGGGAGAGGTGCTTCAGATTAGTCAAAGAATAAACTGTTTTCCTTCCACTGCAGCTTGGGTTAAAGCCCCTTTATGACAAACTAAACAGATTACGCTTCTTCTTTTTTGCTTTTTACCAGATATCCTTTGCATAGGAACCTATTTGAATTTTTGACAATTTAGCTGCTAAAATTTAATATAGACTTACCTGAAAGGGTTTTTTGGCCTGCAGATTTGGCAATGAGTTGAACGGAGAAGTAATGTCGCACAAAATGCGAATTTTAGCAGGGGTTATTAGCTTTTCTATTCAGGCGAATCCCTTAAGTAGAGATTCTGTCACAAAGAAACTTTTGTCCTGTAAAGGTAGGAATTAGTTCACTAAAACATGTCGTTCTTTTCAAAATAAAAAAGGTTGCTAAATCATTATACAGCAGTGAGGCCAAGCTTTCAAAAGCATTCCTATTGGTCTGCGTGGAAGGTGAATGATGCTTAGAGACATAGGGGCAATCGCGCCTTACTTGTGTAAAATAAAAACTGACTACACTGCCGTCAAAAGTTAAATTGACTAACCCAGCACCATGCAGCGGTATGTTTGTCGATACTTCCAAGCGTTGTAACCATAGAAATAACAATAAAACATAAACAGATTGTGTTGATTTATCAGAATGCAAGTCTTATGAGTCCAAGATGTGAACGTACTCTGCACATACAGTGGAACGTGCATTTATCACCAAAGGAGTTATACACATGTGAAATGTGCGAAAATGTAAAAAAGATTAATTGCAAATATATGGATGTTTAAAATGGATTTTTCAATGTATATGTAGACCATTCTAGTTCAGAGATTAAAAAAAAAAAAAACTACTGGGAAGCGCAATAGAAGATTTTGGTATCTCACGGGCCTACGTAAATGAGCTCTATCGCCAAATAAAATAAAAAATCGAACTTACTAGTATACTAGATTCAATGAGCTATAAAAATACAATCTTAGGAGAACAAAAACGAACGAGTCTGATTTATCAAGAGCTGACAAAGGTTACATATTGAATAGCTGTACCATGTGCTTGTCATCGCCCAGTATCTCTATTGATCTTGGTGGAAAATGCTAAAGATATTGCCACCCTTCGCCCCAAACTCCTTATTCACTCCCTTACTAACATTCTTTTAGATAAAATATTACCTGAGCACCAACGATCACTGTTTTCACGCGGACTAAAGAACACTATTTCGTACTCCAAAACACTGCCAGCGATTTTTCTTAAAATTCTTAGTTCAGATTTTGCCGTTGTTAAAGCCAAATAATGCCTTTGTTTTATGAAAATCTGTAATTAGGGGCTTATAACTCAAATAAAAACATATAAACCAAAATAACGCAATGGATTGTATCCTATACACTCGTGGTTAGCTCTGCCAATTCTCGTAATTAAATTGGGTTCATTCATGAAGTTAAGCCCCATACTAATTGTTATATCACCCCAAAAAGAGAAAGGTGTTAAATTGGCGATTAAAGCCTTGAGTCGCCTATGCTCATACATTGCAAGGAGAAAAATGAACGCCGAAGTTTTATATTTTCGAGGTTTTTTTATTGTTTTAAATCTACACAAAGATAAATGCATAATTATTCAATCAGATGCAGAAAAAACTTTATTTTCGGTATTTGGGCGAAAATAAAGGTTATAATATCCTTAAGATGAGCATTTATATACAGTAGGTTTGAAAGCACAAGTGGAAATATTGGATATACTTGAAATATGTCTAAAATGTAGGGGGGGGGGGGGGGCTCTGAAAACCAAACCGAAAGGTACTGAAAACGCGGAATGCCCTG